TACCAGATGACGCTCCAACAACTGAGCCTCCCAGCCAGACCAGGCACGAGCATTTTAAATAAGCTCCATGTAGGCATGGCTGGGAACCACTGAGCTAAGCTACTTCTGCATTGTCACAGAGCAGAGGCACCAGCAGCCTAAACGGGTGGGGGGCTGGGGTGTCAAGCATGTCCTGGCATCTCTGCTGCAGTTTTGGGGGCTGGGGTAGGCCAGCCAGAAATCCATGGGCAGAGTCTCACGGGAGGAGGGGCAAAGCCCAGACTCTACAGCCAGGCACCCGGGCCTGGCTCTGCCCCGTATCAGCTGTGTGACCTTGCACATATTTCTTAATCTCTCTGTGCTTTTGTTTCTCACCTATTTAGGAAAAATGTGGTAATAATAGCAGCCACTTTGTAGGTCGGTTATGGAGATGAAAAGACAGCATATGTTAAGCTCCTGGGACATGACAAGCACTGTGTTCGTGTTGGCTGTTTATTGATGATAATTTTTCAAGAAGGAGCTGGCATAAATGATGGCCGCTGCTGTCAGGGGAGAAGGGAACAAACCCACTGTGGGTCCTTTCACTCCTCAGCCTGTCTCCTGGCCCCGGCCCCCTTCTACCACCGCCCTATAGACTAGGCCACAGGGGATTTCTCTTTCTAGGATGGAAAAGACGTGAGCATGTTTATAGGCTAAGAGGAAGGAGCAGTAGAGAGCAGGGGGCGGGGAGGCGGTGTCAACACTGGGGGAAACAGATGGAGCCGTGCCCAGAGGAGATGGAAGAGAAATGGGTTAAATGATGCCAAGGCTCCAGTGAGGTGGAAGGTCATGAGTGTGCTGTGGCCCTAGTCTATGTGGATGTAAGGATTTAGTCCAGAAACACTCAGCCACATGAGCGTACAAACTGAGGAGGAGGCTGGATCCAAAGTGAGGATGTGCCTGGTAGTTGAGGGTATCTAAGAACATGGTCAGGGGAATCATGGGATCCAAGGTCCAGCTAAGTAGGAAGGAGAAGCCGGGAGAGGCCATCAGGCAGGAAGAAGGTGGGTGAGTCTGTATCAATAGGGAATCCATATCAAGAAGTATGAATAAGGGCCAAGGGCAATGAGGTTGAAAGAGCTGGTTTGATTTGGTCAAAGGTCGGGCTATAGTGTTTAGGAGTCTGGCGGTTGTGCAGTACAGGGGATGCCAGAATGTGTATTTTATAGTTACCTCTATACGTCTTAGGTCTTCAGAGAGCCAGCAGTTGGGGGACAAGGCCTTCACTCTTATGATGCCTTATTCATGCCAGTTCATGCTCAATATTTCAAACCGACTGATTGGAAAGCAGATTCTTTCTGATAGGAAGACCCATTTCCATAGCAAAGGCACAGAAAGGCTCACAAGTCCTTCCTCTGAACACCGATCCCCCCGCACTCCCAGCCACCTGCCCTTTTGAACAATCCCCAGTTCCCATTCTTCCCAGTACTCACAGAGAAGGACCTTCCTGCCAAGTTGGACGACTTGACAACTTCCGTCACGTTAACACTCAGGCACGTGTGGTCTGTAAGGGGAGACACATTTTGGGGGGGAGTGGGTGGGATTTGAAACGGGAAGGAATGAGATGGGGGGCAGCTATGAATGGGCCTTCAGGCAAGTAGGACAGTTTGAGATCCTAGGTCCTAAGAAGACTCCCCCTCCCCACATGAACCTTCTCCCACATTCTGCTTAGCCCCTTCCTGACTCCACCTGGGTCCTAGCCACATTTCTGTTCCTTCCTGAGTATATTATCTATTTCCCTCCCCTGGTGAATCCACAAGTTTCCGCATCCTCAGGCAGAGCAGCCAACCCAGACCCCTTTCTTCATCCCCGCGCACCCCTTTTTCAATGGGAGAAGGTTCTGTTGAGCTTCCTCGCAGCTCCTGGGGAGGAACCTGGCCCAGGATGTGTGTACAACAAAGCACCACGGAGGGGGAGGAGCGCAGCACTCCGACAGGCTGAGGGCCTTCCCTGGGCTTCGGAATGGTGTCTAATGCGTCCAAACCATCCTGTGGCTGCTCCCCGGCTCCCCCGGCTCCCTGCTAAGGAGGGTTCTTAGATGTCTATGCCTGAGGCGGGTCTGGCCTCCGTTCTGACAGGGTTTTGTGATGGAAGACTTGGAGGAGGCACAAGCTCGAGTGGGGGTGGGCAGTGCGAGTCTTGAGAAGAAATACAAAGTTCACAAGAAGTTAAGATTGTCACTTACGACATGTAATAAATTAGTATCTTATCTCCATTTTAGAAGGGAAAAGACGGGGAGAGAGGTCACCAGTAACTTGCCCGGGTCACACGGCGGTAAGGGACAAAGCTGGCTTGAAGCCTGCCCTTCTGGTCCTAGAATCTGTGCTCTCCACCCACCCCACCTCACCTCTCCGTTAGAGCTATTGCCAAAGTCACAGTCCCCTTCACGGTGGGCGTTAAAGACCTACAAGCAGAGGATGTCACGTGCCCTGGCCGGTAGCTCCGATACACCGCGAGTGTCTGGCTGTGACAGGGTTTCATGTCATCCACAAATTCAACCCGCCTGCAAGCCATTTTATCAGGAAGTGATCAAATCAACAGATTATTTCTTGAGTGTCCTCTTTGTGACAGATGCCAAGACAATTTAGGAGCGACGATGCCCTTAAATAAATGCAAATGCTGTGCAGGACAGATGTCGTTAACGGGAGAGCTAGCAAAGCAGCGCTCATCGTTGGACAGAAGAGGAGGGAGGGAGCCGAGGCATACTCCTCAGAGGCTTCCGGGCTGGCTAATGTGTACTTTCAGTCTGTGTTTCTTCTGGAACATTCCAGATTCATTCATTCTTTTTAAAAAATATATATTTTATTGATTTCAGAGAGGAAGAGAGAGATAGAAACATCAAGAGAGAATCATTGATCGGCTGCCTCCTGCACACTCCCTATTGGGGATTGAGCCCGAAACCCAGGCATGTGCCCTTGATCAGAATTGAACCCAGGACCCCTCAGTCCGCAGGCCGACGCTCTATCCGCTGAGCCAAACCAGCTAGGGCGCATTCATTCGTTTTAAAATAAATTTTTGGGCGTAAAGTAGCACTTCCTTTCTTCACTAAATGTTTACTGAGTACCTACTATGTGCCAGGACGTGTGCTAGGCAGTGAGCAAGATACAGTTCTGCCTGGTAAACTGTTTGCTCTGGAACAATCTTCCACAAGCACCTGTGGCTCACAGCCTGTGCATCTGGCCTGCTGAGGTTTGGAGGCTGCAGAGGAAGAGTGAGGAGCAGAGGTGGGGAATCTGGCTCTTGTGTGAGGTGTGGCCTTGGGCAAGTTATTTCATTTTCTTCCGTTTCCTCTCCCGTAAAAAGTGGCTAATACGAATAATGCCTATGTCATCGGGTTGATATGCTTACGGGAGTGGATATGTTTGACGTAGAACATAACATGGCCTCTGAGCAATGTGCGTGGTGGTTAGGAATCCACATCACCACCCTTTTCGTTATTCCAGAGGCCAGGGCGCTCACAGGAACAGCTCCCATCTATAATCTATGCATATAATTATATGCACATAACCTGGTGTCTTCTAGGATCTCAATTTTAGATTTAGATAATTAGATAACAATCTTAGTATCAATAGATCTCTGTCATTCTATAGTTAATTAGTAGATACTTTGGATTGGTAGTGCCCCGTGTGACCTGGAGGGTCCCTGCCCAATGGAACAGAATTCAAATAAAAATTTTCAAATGAAACTCTAGCCCTGCAGCCCTGGTGCAGAGGAGGAGCTGCTGCAGCCCCTCCTGCAGTCCCTCTGCCTTCATCAGGCCTCAGACGCGCAACCCAGTGCTAGAGCTCACTGCTCAGCATCTGAGGGCGGGGCTGTGCTTCACTCGGGCAGCCTGAGTAGGAGCTCAACCTGTTCAATGACCCCAGGGCTGGGGTGGGAGGCCTCCCCAGGTCACCTCCCCTCCTGTCACTGCCCCCTCTATCCTCCGCCCTCTGTCCCTTCGCCCTCTCTCTGCTCTGCGTTCCCCGCTCCTCACCTTCAGTGTCACTGGCTGGAAGGGCCTTTAGGACCAGCCCGGTGGCCCTCAGGGAAATGGTAACCTCCCGGGTCCGGTGGCTGAGCAGGGCCTGGGGAGGGAGGTCAGGTAGAGATGGCGGCCCTCACATCCTCACATCAGCAGTCTCACTCCCAGCCCCTGCCTCGAGTTTTACCTGCGTCATCACTGCCCAGTAAGGGGACCCGGAAAGGGCTTGGAGCACTCTCAGCCCAGGGGGCATGTGCAGCCTACTAGAGCCAGAGGACTCCGTCTCCAATGAGGAAGGGGACAGCCCCTTGTTCCTGAAATCAGGTCCCCTCCTGTCTACATGGGAGGCCACTGGTAGCCCTCACATTCCTACAAAACTCTCTGAAGGCTGGGGCACCGGGGGGAGGGGCCAGAAAAGGGCAGAAGCCTCCGCTGGCTCTGTTTTCCCTCCATGTGCTCCTGACACCTGCTTCCATCCCGGGGCACCTCCCGACCACACCCAGCACTGACCTTCCGGTAGCACAGGGAGAGCTCAGCCCCGGGGGCCTCAGCCGCGCCTCTCCTCCTGGGGGAGAAAGCATCTGAGGGAAGACGAGAAGAGGCTGAAGGTGGGAGGTCCTCCCCCAGCCCAGCTTCCCCACCGCCCTGAGCCTCAGGGGGCCAGGCTGCCCTTCCATCCGGGTGAGCTTGGAGGGACCCCAGGTCACCTCAGTATTCAGCCAGGTGGGGCAATGAGGCTTGGGGAGGCTGAGTCAGGGCGAGCTTTGGGAACGGGAGCAGATGCTCACCTTTGGGGAGTTTGGAGTCTTGGATCTTCACCTTCAGCTCAGTGAGGAAAATGTCCTCCGCGGAGTCCTGGCTCAGGTCACCGAAGAAGATCTGGAGAGACGGGGTGGGGGGTGAGGGGGGCGGAGGTGGAGAAGGCTGGCTCCCTGCCAGAGACAGCTCCCCCTGCAGCCCCAGAGCCCGAGGATGTGGGTGCTGGGAGAGTGCACAGAAGCTGTCGGAGTCCCCCTGCCCCTCCTGCCAGCGCGGGGTTCCGAGTGGCATCCAGTGATGACCCGGATCTGACTCTGTCCATCACCGACGCCTATATCATATGCCAGCAAATCATAGATTTATCAACAGTGGAGGGAAGTATGATTGAAACCCAAACTACTGGAACCAGCACTAATGTGGATGGCAGGAGCGGGGGACACCGTTCACATGAGGGGGGGTAATAGTCTCTTGTAGACCCTGGTAGGGGAGGATAAAAGGGTCAGGGCCAGACCGGAGGACCCGGCAGTCCTCCATGTGCACAGAGAAGCCCGGGCTGTGGGAGCCAAGGGCTAGGGAGACCCCGAGGAAATTTGGGGGTGGGCGTGGCTCCTGAGGGAAGAGGGACAGAGCAGAGGGGAGCGGCAGGAGGGAGGATGCTGGGACAACAGGGGAGAGTAGCCACAGGATCCTCAAAAGAACAGGATGCAGAGAGGAAAAACGTGTCCGCCAGCAGCCAGGAGCTGGCCTGGCACTCAGGGCGCGGTCTCCGTGTTCTGTTGACCATAAACAAGTTCATAGATGCCGACACTGTAAGGCAAGGCCACTCCGTGACTGTGATGGGCCAAGACAGAAAGCCGACCCGCCACTGTCATGTCTGAACACAGGAAAGATGGGAAGACTGTGCAGGCCACAGCCCTCCCCTTCCCTCCAAGCAAACAGTGAGCGGCTGCTGTTTCTTCGCGCCAAAGAATAGCAGTTAAAGCCACAGAGATGCCCAGTCGTAGAATCATTCCTGACAGCGTGCGATCCAGAGCCAAGTCACATGTTTCGGAGCCCTCTCCAGAGTCACCGGGCAGGAGGCCAGGCGCTGTGAGTTCTAACAGTCTCCTCCTGAGGTGCCTCGTGGTTCTCCAGGTGTGTGGCCCCCTCACTCAGCAAGTCGGGAAACCCCTCTCTGTCCTGCGTTAGGTGTGCTCCTGGGGGCCTTTGGCTGAGGGCAGTGGCAGCTGCTATGTTCACGCCCTGTACCAGGGACCTCTGAGAATTTCCCCCCCCCATTTGTCTCTTTTGTGTTGTTTCGGTTTGCAGTTTGAAAACTAAGGAAAAGTCTTGAATCCTTTATTTAGGTCAAAATCAAGGAGGCAATGAAGAAGAGATCTCCCCCAGGAAGCAGAGTAAAAACAAGAATTCCATAAGCTAGAAGGACTTCCACAAGGAGCTAGAGGCGGAGGTGGCCATTGGAAACTAGCCTGCAGGCGCTCACAGAAATCCAGGAAGAAACCCAGGAAGAAGATAACATTCACAGCCCGGGGTCTCCAGGTGGGTTTATGACGTTCACCCTGGTAACCTGTGTTTCCCCAGAGCCAGGTACTCAGGGGTGGGGTCCTGGGGCCCAGCAGGCTGCCCCAGCTGGAAAGCTTACCTTGACTGTGTAGAGCTGGAAATAGATGGGTTGGGTGCCCATGCGGACATAGTAGGTGATGACATCCAGGATGAAGGGGTCTACAGTCTGGGATGTGTCCAGGGAGGGAGGCTGTGAGGGAGACAGAGAATGTTTTCAACGACCTCCCTCCATGCTACGGTGGGAGGTGCCACTTTCTTAAGAGAGAAACCCCATCACCCCCACCTATCCTCTGTGACGGACTAACCCAGCTGGCCCTTCAGCACAGTCCAAGCCTTTCCTACGACCCAACTTCCACTCTAGTCAGAATATGCCTGTGCAGAACCCCATTTCCCCAGGGACTTGGGTTCATTGTAATTGCACCGAGACATACCTGGTACCTCGATGTGCAAAGCATTGTGCTGGGTGCTTGGGGTAGACAAGATGCTTGAGGATAGAACTAATCACATAAGAGTCTGGACTGGGTTCTAGGTTTGCTCTCACATCACTAACCTTGGGCATGAGAAGTTGAACCAGAAGGTGATGTTTCCTTCAGTTCTGGTGGTATCTGAATATATTAATAACCTAACTATTTTTTACATATTATTGGGAAGGGACTAGTGCAATGTCCTCCAGCGCCCCCCCCCCCCCAAGCCCCATATAATTCTAAAGCATGATAATTTGGTATTTTAGGTAAATAGAGCAGAATGTCTACATAGAATCTGATAGTATCAGTGTTGGAAAGAAGCTCAGAGTTTATCTAGCCCATCTGTGTATGACCCTATGAGATTTCTGATTCTCACATCTGATCTACTGAATACTGTTCCCTTCAAAAAGGTCATGCTGAAGAACTAGGAACTTATTCTAGTCATGCTGCATCACACACACTGTTTCCAGTCTCCTCGTGTGGAAACTGCTTTTGGAGTAAGTGTAAGGGTCATACAGATTGTTAATTATAAGGAGATGGAGAGCAGGAGAAAACCAAAATCTTATATGTGTCCTGGCAGGGGGAAAAAACTACCAATAAAGGCACATAGTTTTGAGGAAAAGGTATTTTAATACCTAGCTAAATAGTCTTTCATGTATATGCAGACATTTTTAGATAAGCAATAATTCAGAAAACATGCTGCCCTAGCTGCTTTGGCTCAGTGGATAGAGCGTCGGCCTGCGGACTCAAAGGTCCCAGGTTTGATTCTAGTCAAGGGCATGTACCTTGGTTGTGGGCACATACCCAGTAGGGAGTGTGCAGGAGGCAGCTGATCGATGTTTCTCTCTCATCGATGTTTCTAGCTCTCTATCCCTCTCCCTTCCTCTCTGTAAAAAATCAATAAAATATATTTAAAAAAAGAAAACATGCCCCCCCCAACATCTTTATTCAAATAAAAGATATAAGAAGGCACCCCAATCAATCAGGCACTAAAGCAAAATGGAGATCTCAGTAAAGTGGCAAGTTTGAAAATAAATACGTAAAAATCAATAAGTCCCTTTTATACTAGCAGTAACACCATCCAAAAACAATGGGAGAAAGATACCATCCACAATTGCAAGAAAAAACTATTAAATATGAGGATAAATTAAGCAAGAAATGGGTCAAATCTATATGCTGAGAACTGTACAACTATCATGAGGGATATACATGAAGACCTTAATAAATAGAGTTATACTTCGGTCTCAGAGACGGTGACTTAATATGCTAAAGATGCTAATTCTCCTCCAAATTCCAATCAAAATCCCAAGGGAATTACAAATAAAACGAAGCCCCAGCCAGTGTGGCTCAGTTGGTTGGTTGTCGACCCCGTGCACCGAAAGGTTGCAGATTGGGTTCCCAGTCAGGGCACATGCCCAGCTTGATCCCTGGTAGGGAGCATGCAGGAGGCAGCCGAGTGATGTTTTGCTCTCACATCAATATTTCTCTCTCTGTGTCCCTCTCCCTTTAAAAAAAAATCAATAAAATTTTTAGAAAAATGAAAAAATTCTGAAAGTTTTCTGGAAACAAACCCAAATAAGCACATTCTGAAAAGTTTTGAAAAAGGGAAGTAAGGGGGTAAGCTTACCCTGACAGCTATTAAAATATCAAAGTGCTAATTGGTACAGAACTGAATAGACGAATGAGAAAGAACAGGTATCCAGAAATAAACCCAAGCATATGTTAGAATTTAGTAAATGATGAAAGTGGCATTTCAGATGGATGGAGCAAGATGGTTTATGCAATTAATAGCTTAGGAAAACTGGCTAACCATTTGGAAAAAATAAAAATTACATACTCCACACTAAACACTGAAATTAATGGCAGATAGGTCATTTAAATGTAAAAGTGGAGATGCTCAAAGTATTAGGGTAAATTATCAGTGAAAATGTATTTAATCTTGGGTACAATTTAATCAGTAGAGAAGTCCTTTCAACACATAAAAGTGCTATGTATGTCTACACAAATGTATTAAACTTTTGAAGATCAAAAGCTCTGTTGACATAATTGATAGGCAAGTAATAAAGTGGAATTAAATGTCTGCAACACATATGATTGCAAAAAGGAAAAGATTCTCTTAATATGTCAAGGCCTTTTCAAGTCAGCAAGAGACTAGCTTCTTCCCATTATCGGCCGCCAGGGGTGGGGGTGGCGCGGTGTAAGAGAATGTGCTCTTGACTCCTTGAGGGACTCTACCACTCATTCGGTCACTTTGGGCAGGTTACCTAATCTCTGTGCCTCCGCTGCGTGAGCTGTAAAATGGGGATGTGGAGACAATAGCACCCGCCAACAGGAGTATCTACCTGGTAGGGATGCCCTGCGTTAAGTGCTCAGAGCAGCGCCTGGCACACGGACGGACCCTGGAAGCATTCGCTATTATAACCACAGACAAAGCATCGCAGGAAACTCACAAGAGAAGGAGTGTCATTGGCCTACACGCTCACGCAAGGATGCTTTCCTTCATCTTTTCCGCTGTGGTTTTGTCCAAAGTACAGTCAGTAACCACGGGGATTGCTTCCGGGACCCCTGTGGGTACCAGCATCTGCGGATGCTCATACATCCCCTATATAAAGTCACCTACCCACAACCTCCCGTGTACTTTAAGTCAGCTCTAGATTACTTCTAACACCTAATACAATGTGAATGCTGTGTACATCGCTGTCATACTGTATTATCTAGGGAATAATGACAAGAAAAAAGAGTCCGTATGTGTTTAGTACAGAGGCAACTGTGGGGC